CCCAGGTCACTTGCCCTCTCTGATCCTAGATGTGGGTCTACACAGGGGGATGGTGCTTTGACCCACCTCCTGGGTTGGCAGGAGGGCCAAAGCACTGGTGTGCTGGTAAATGTTTAAATTACTCACTCCCCAGGCAGGGGACCCTGATTTGTTGATGTTCACAGTATAAATAGTCCCATTGTGGGGCACCTGGGTGACTCAGTTGGTTAAACATCTGACTTCAGCTCAGGTCATGATCTCATGGTTCATGAGTTCGAGCCCAGCATCAGGCTCTGTGCTGACAGTTTGAAACCTGGATTCTGCTTCAGATTCTGTGTCTCTCTCTGCCCCTCCCTTGCTCATGCTCTGTCTCTCTATCTCTCTCAAAAATAAATAAACATTAAGAAAAATGTTAAATAGTCCCATTGTGACCTATTTCAAACTATCCAAGAGAAGTTACTGAACACAGAGTTGAGAAGCAACATGCAATAACTCTAATAGAGTATAGCCACCAAACAGATAACAAGAAATATAACCTCAAGAGCATAGATAATTGTTAAGTCTAGTAAAATCATCAAGAAGCAACACATTTTGAGTATTACTACCTGTTCTTTTTTGCTTGAGTTTGTGTGTGTGTGTGCGTGCACTTGTTTTTGAGACATAATTGATATATTAGTTTCAGGTGTACATGATTTGCTATTTAAATATATTGCAAAATGATTACAATAGTCTAGTGAACTTCTATCACCACATATAGCTATGATATTTTTCTTGTGATGAGAACTTTTCAATACCTGTTTTTAATATAACACATTTTTATAAAGTTTTATTTACTTAAGTAATCTCTACACCCCACATGGGGCTTGAATCCATGACCCCAAGATCGAGAGCTGCACTGAGACAATCAGACACCCCAATATATTGCATTTATTTATTTATTCATTTATTTATTCATTCATTTATTTATTTATTGGGGGGTACAAGTAGGCAAGGGCAAAGAGAGAGAGAAGCGGGACTTATGTTCACCCAAAGCAGGGCTTGACCTCACCTGATGAGGGGTTTTGTGCTCACACAAAGCGGGACTCGAACACACAAACCATGAGATCATGACCTGAGCTGAAGTCAGATACCTAACCAATTGAGCCACCCCGGTGCCCTAATATAATGTATTTAAATCTAAGTTTACCTCCTTCTTTTTTTCACCTTATTTAATTTTTTTTCCAGCTCTTCCCTAATTTCTTGGCTTGGGCCTCCCCATAGGAGCCAGGCAGGTCCAGAAGCACAGCAGTGGCCCCTTGTCCCACCAGTCGCTCTGCCGTGGCCAGACCCAGGCCAGAGACTCCTCCAGTTATTACAGCAACCGGGGCCTTCACGCTTTGACGCACTGCAGGCATCCTGCACCAGCCTCTCCCCGTTATTTAATTTTTAATAATGGCTATGTTTAAAATGATTCCTAAAAAGGTAACAATCTCAGCTCTGGCCCCTATGAATAGTGCTAGCACACCACTCACTGGCCCACAGCAAGAGGATGTGCAAAGTAAGCCTCCAGATGGGCCTGGGTCTCAGGCATCTAGGAGAGGCCCAACTTCTGCCTAGGGGGCTGCAGGGCAAATATTAAAGGAGCACAAAGAGAAGCACCCTAATTCAGAGCCCCCAGGCAGCCCACAGGTTTGCATCTCCCCCACCCCCACTCCTGTCCAGGTTTACACGTGGCAGGCACAAGACTTGCTTATTCCCAGGGGCATTATCACCTCACAGATGACCCAACACTAGTTCCTGCATTGGGGGACCTCATTCCCCAAGCTGTCTCAGGAAAATCATGAATGGTAGAGTCATTGGTGACTCTATCATGAATGGTAGAGTTATTGGAAAGCTTCAGTAGGGTTTGGTGGCTCCTTAGACCCACTGCCTCGGCCTGCAGCTGGACGTATCTGCAAGGCTCTGTGCCCTGAGCCAGTGGCAGTGGGTGAAGATGCAAAAGCCTATGCCTAGGATGGACATCAACACCACCATGAGCAGAGTCCCTGTCATCCGCATCAGCATCAGCAAGCTGGGGAGGCTCCCTGGTATAAGAGGCAGAGGTTGATCAGGGCCTGAAGAGGCAGCAAGTACACCAGCAGGGACTGGGAAGGGGCAGGGCAACAGCTTCCACCAGCCAGACCGTGTTGTTGACTGAGAGAGAGTATGGGCGTACTAGGCTAAGCGGTGCTTATGTGACCTCAAGCCTCAGTTTCCTCATCTCTAAAATGGGGTTGGTCATTGATCATGTCTATTGCATGATTCTTAGGAGGATCAAATGAGGTCATCACAGAAAAATGGAAGCTGCCAGGCAACAAAGGGTAGCATTTATTAACAATATATGGTGGGTGGCAGTTACCCTTCTTCAGGGTGAGGAGGCTCAGAGGGATGAGTGGCTTCCACAGTGATGGGGTGAGCGAGCTTACAGCTAACTTGTCTGAAGTTTTGGGCTTTACTCTGGCAGGCCATGAATGAGGACCAGGTGGCGGAAGGGGGAAGGAAGAACCTAGGACCGGGTCCTGCTGGGATTGCCAAGTGTCTTCCACTGTGAAGGGGACCCTGAGAATGGCCAAAGCTCTGGAAAAGGACTCCTCCACTCACCTCTGGGCTCCATGGAGTCAGAAGCCTAACTCAACTAAAAGGACCATGTCATCTGGTGGGAAGCCTCCTCAGTGGCCTTCCCAGAGGCTAGAAGACAAAGATATCCCACCAGAAGTCTTTAGCCCACCCAACCTCTACACACTTCTAACCTTCTGACCTAGTATCTGTTCACTGATGCTGAAAGTTGAGAGAAAATGAAACTATTTATCCCAAAGCAAGAAAAGAACATGTTTACACCATGATGTCGGTGACTAAGAGCCCCGTCCTGGTAAGGCGCTTACCTAGGTTGTATGAATGGAGTTGAATGGGTCTCCAGGTTTGTTTAATAAAGATGAGACTAGAAGCTCAAAAGTGGCAGACCAAGCGAATGCTCTCATTTTATATTTGGGGAAATTGAGGCCCAGAAAGAGAAGGGATTTGCCCAAGGTCATAGTAGAGGGCTCTCCAGAGGCCAGATCCCTCCTTGATTCTCCTGATCAACAGATAACTTGAGTGGGTCTTGTAGTTTGGAAGGGTCAGTATCAGCTTCCTCAGAGGTCTTCAGGAGCATGACAGTACCTCCCATAGGCCCATCCCCCCAATACTGTGAGTGCCTCAGAGCCTACCCATAAACCCTATCTATAAAACCAAGAAACTCCAATCTGCCAAGGCTCTTTGATGGGGTGACCAGGAGCAGGTAATCACACAACAGGAACACAGTCTCAGAAAGAGCTGAGGGGCAACACAGAAGGGGCATCGGGGCTGGTTATGAAGAATGTTCAAGGTTGACCAAGAGGAAAAGTATTTCCAGCTGAGGAAGAGTGTGGGGTGGGATAAGAGAGGCTAGGAGTCAGGTGATAGGGAAGAACACAAGGCCAGTGCAGGGCCAAGAGCTGTGCCCCAAAACACAGAGGCCTGACTCTGGCCAGCAGCATCCAATTTTCGGGGGAACCAAGAGGGTGGGAGGTAGAGACTAAGCGAGCAGGGAACTGGTGGTAGAACCCAGAAGTCATAGGAATGAAGGTGCAAGTGCAAACCTGGTGTGTGGTTGGGGAGGGTGCAGGACTGGAGAGGGGCAGAGAGAGGGCCAGAGAATTGAGGGAGCTCAGAGCATTTAAGGGAGCAGGAGGGAGCAGCAGGAGACTGGGCAGAGGTCCAGGGGGGCCTGAGAAAGGAACCCAGCTGGTGTGGGATGAGAAGGGCAGCAGAGAAAGGCTTACATTGAGACTCCCAGACATTAGACCACCCTACAGCTGCAGGCACACCCCAGAGCATGAGCCACAACCTGAGCCCCCATTCTGTCTCCCCAGCAGTCTTGCCCAGTCCCTTGGCTCCTAGAAGTCCCCATCCAGGTGCAGGGGGTCTCTCTGGGGTGGGGTTAGCTCCCCAGTCTGTGCCTGGGCTGCAAAGGAGCATGGCCAGAGTCTCAGCTGGAACTGATTTGTGGCTTGGAGCAGGGCTGAGTAATAGGGACCTAGGCCTATTTCTGCTCCACATCCAAAACGCCATTCCCCACCTCTCTACCCCTCCAAGTTGTTAACAGCCAAAAAAGAGGCTGGTCCAGAATCAAGGAGGAATGTCCTCCTCTCTTCAGTCTCCCAAAGACAGCTCCTCCCCCCTAATACCGGGTCACTCCTTTTTCTACAAGACTCCTGAGTCTCCTCATGGGAGTCTCCTGTGATACTCATATGCAGGCTGTCTTCACCTCAGGCACCTTCAGGCTCAGGTGGTAGCTGTCCAACAGGCTCCCCTTCCTCTTCCAGAGGTACTGGTGCTTTAGGCTTACAAGGAGCTCAATGCCCAAAGGAGGCTGGCAGCACCAAGGGTGGGGTCCCCGGCATCTGCAGGGGAGCACTGGTGTGTGTGTGGGGTGGGGGGGAGAGGGGGAGGTACAGACAGGCCCAGTGCTGGCTACTGTGAGTGATGCATGGCCAAAGTCAGCCTCCACCTCTGAGGGCCCCCAGGCCTGCTCCCCGCCACCACACCCCTGCTCACCCCCAAGAGGAAAGGAGAAGAGAACTCAACTTCTTGAGGCTTTATTGGGCCAGGGGCTGTCCTGCCTTCCAGGCAGGCCCAAGTAGCTCCTGCACCAGGGATGGGCTGGCCGGAGAATCAGTCCTGAGTGTGCCCGCCACTGCACTCCTGCATCTCTTTGAGTGTCTGCTGCTCTTCCGTTCAGCCACACTGCCATGGGGCCAAGCCACTGGGACCCCCGGGTCCCCAGCTTGCCAAGTGATCTTGGCTGTACTACTGGCCGTGTCTGGGCCTTGGTCTGCTTATCCTCCATGGGAGGATGTTATTTCTCTGTCAAAAGACAGGTCTACTCCACAGTATCAAAGAGTCCATGGAAGCAGATGGAGTTCAGGTCTCCCCTTCTGTGAGTCACTGCAGCTGCTACTCCTTGAGGCCTTTGTCTCTCACTTTCCATCAGGCTCAAATATACTCAATGCCAGGGCCTCAGACCCCAGGGAACCAGGCATCCATATTCCCTGACAGGAGGAGGAGGTTGGACCAGAGCAGAGAGTAGGCCAACTCACAGGCCAGGTACCAGGGTGAGGTCAGGAGGAGCTGGGCTTCTCCACTGAAGGGTAGAGCTTGCGCACGCTGGAGTCCAGGAGGAAGTCCACTGACCTGTGGGGTGGGGACAGTGATGAGCAGGTGACCAATGGGTGCTAGTGGGGGAGTAGGAAACAGGAGGTCAGGGCCAGAGAAGGGATTCCTAGATGCAGGACACAGTGCCATTTCTTTATTCAGTTGGGGAAACTGAGGCACAGAGAGGTTAAAAGGCTCACCTCGGGCTTTTGGGTCACCTATGTTGCCTTGGGAAAAGACTGCTCCTCCCACTCTATGTCGATGTGGGTTGGCCCCATCTCTGGTTCTATGACCAGGCACATGACCCAAGCCTGGCCAATCAGAAAAGGGAAACTGGCTCAGGACTAGGCACTCAGTCCAGAATAGACCAACGACAGCCTTCCTTGGGATTTTATTTTATTTTGATTGATTGTCAACTCTAAGAAACTTCCTATGGGTCTTCTTGCTAAGCTGGTGGGATGGAACCTGGGAACTGCTGGAAGCCATATCTGTTCCCCTGTGGGAAAATGAATGAAACCAACAAGGGTTGGTGTTGGAAGAAAGATAGCAGGATGGGGAGACCAAGACCCCTAATGACATCATTTGGGTGCCTAGATCCAGCCATGCCTGAAAGCAGCAGAACTCTGGACTTTTCAGTTTCATGAAACAATCAATCCTTATTTTACTTAACCTAGTTTAGTTGGGCTTCTGTCACCAAAATCTCCCCAAACCCATCCCTTCCAATGTGCACCTGTTCCTGCCTGCCTCTGGTTGTTTTGTAACACTAGGTTTCCTTTCTAGAATTTATTGGTCCTGTGTCCCATGCCCTCAAGGCATCCCCCTTACCTTTACTGCCAAAGTATCTTCCAGATCATATGCCAAGGGCACAGGCTGTCCTTTCTACCTGAGGAGCCTGAGTGCCAGCCCTGCCTCTGCTGCTACTGTTGCAGTGTCCCTCACTGTGCAAAGTGGGGACACCATGTCTCTCAGAGCTTATCTCTACCTGTAGAGTGGATGATCCCTGAGGCTGGAAGGGGCACCCACCTGTCAATGGGGTGGATGATGACAGGGATGACCAGAAGCCCCAATGCAGTGGTAGTCCACTTGCGGATGGACAGAGGCCAGCGGGTGGCAGTGCCCAGGATGTAGAGAGAGGCAGCACACACGCGGTTGATAGTGAAGCCTGGGATGGCCACAGAAGCCAGAGCCTGCCACACGAAAGTGTCCACCACAGCCACGGTCACCCTGGTACTGCGGCCTGCTTCAGGGCTTCGTACCTGGTAGGGAAAGGAGATACTTAATCCAGCAGGGCAGGGGTAGGAAATGCTGTGGACAATGGGCATGAGGTTGGACCAGGGGAGGGAAGTGGCCGGTGGGGGGTGGAGACAGAACTGCACTACTGTCAGGTTCTGGATTGTACCAGTTCAGGGCTGAGGGTGGACTCATTCACAGCCAGAACTGGGGTATAGATTGTGTCACATGCAGGGCTGGGGGCAGGGTGTAGCAACCTACAAACAGCATGGGGGTATGGACTGCACCAGACAAGGTTGTAGGGGTTGGACTGTCCCACAGGGGATTTTACCACATGCAAGGCTGTGGACGAAATCACAAGGGGAGTGGACTAGGGTCGGCGGTTGAGAGGCAGGCTAACACTCACGTCTCCTGCCTTCTTGCCCTTGTCAATGGCATCTGCCAGCACGTAGGAGCTGGATACACCATAGCTCAGCCACACCACAGCCGCTGGCACCAGAGAGCGGAATGCCTCTCCCACCTCGTTGGCATAGCCTGTTGGGGAGGAGACATTTAATTCCAGGGGTAGGAGTGGGGATGGTTTGCTCCACAAGGGGGCACTAGTCCTAATTCCCAGCCTGCTAAGCCAGAGCTGGGTGACCTTAGATAGGTGATTTTACTTCTCTGAACTTCCGTTTCCCAGTTTGTAAAAAGGCGTCCATAAAACCCACCTCCACTCTAGGGCCATTGTGGGAGCGCTGACCACAGTCACCATTATCATCACTCACTTGCCTTCCCAGTCTGGGTTCTAGAAGCACGTGCACTAATGCGGAGATTAAGAGCAAATCCCCCCATGAGGCACTCACCGTGCGCCAGGCCTTTCCTGTGCCTTATCTCTTTCTACTCTTACAACCACCACCCCATGAGAGGGACACTGTTCATTCCTTTATGCTGAGAAAACCGAGAATCAAACTGAGTCAGTATGAGGCCAGATGCCCTGACTCTACAGCCAGTGCCTGGGCACACGGGAGAGGCCAGCTCATTCTCCCGGTTCCTCCAAGTCCCGTTGGGGCTTACACCTGGGAGACTGACCAGTACAGATCCCGAGGGCAGAGGTGGTCTGACCTGAGCTGTGTGACTCTGGGCAAGTCTCTAGCCCTCTCTGAGCCCAGTCTCTGGCCCAGGCAGAATGAGGACTAAGATTCTTCCACCTTCTCCGGGCCCCTGCCCAGCGTCTGGCGACTCCTACCTCTCCAGCCACATTGTGCGGGGTCGCCGAGCCCCTCGCCCACTCCCGGCCCCCGCTCACCTAGGTACCGCACCCACGTGTCTCGGAAAAGGTCGCGCTCGGCACCCCGCGGGGGCGGCTCGGACATGGCGCTTCCACCTCCGCACCAGCCACTGCAGCCCGTCCTGCGCCGATACCACCTCAGCTTCCACTACCGATCCAGTCAGCCGCGGCAGGACCCGCTCAAGGTCCAGAACTGAAGGACAGGTCGCGCTGTCCCCGCCAGCAGGGAGCGTCTGCAAATTACCCCGCGCACTGAAGCCCCTCTCCCAGGCTTGGGCTTTCCAGATTAATTTTCTTAACGTTATTTTCTGGGTTTGAGTGGTTGGCGCAGTCCTTTCCCACGACTGGCTGTAGTTTCAAGCCTTAGAGACTGGGGTTCAAATGCGGGCTGCATTTCCTAATTACACCTCATAGCTGTGTGACTTTAGGCAATAGACTGTACTTCTCTAAGCCTCATTTTATTAATTTATTAAATGCGGAACACAATGTTCACTCCTGGGACCGTTGCAAAGATTAATTATAAGCAATCATTTGTTAAGTTTACTACTGATCAAACCATTGACTAAAGACTCTAGACAGATTACTTTTTTAAAGCCTCCCACCAATCTGGGACCGCCATTTTACAGATGAGGAAATAGAGGCACAAAAAAGATGGTCACTTTTCCAGGTCATACAGCTAAGTGGTAAAGCTGGCATTTGAATCCAGGTCGTGTGTCTCCAGATTCCGTGCTCTTAAGGGGAGTTGAGTTAATGAGGCTGGGGTAGTGAATGGTGAGCACTCTGGCCAAGGGGGTGCCTTCCTGGCAGGTGCTGTGTTCATTTATCAAGCTCTGGGGTCTAACTGGGTTGGTATAACCCTCAAACCAAACTCTGAATGGGGGCCGGACCTTGAATGAATGAATGAATGAATGAGGCAAGGGAAACAAGACTTAAGGGAAATGAGAACAGAATGTGTGGTCTTGAGGGGTAATGATTACTAAGAAACTCTTCCCCAGCTGGACCTCAGTTTACTCATGTGGCAATGAGTGCACTTCACTAAAGCTCTGAACCTTTGGATTTTGGAGGTATCAGCCAGGGAAGATGCAGCCATTAAAGACAGGTAGTCCTGGGTTCAAATCCCAGTTGTGCCATCTATTGGCCACGTCAGTAAAATTTACGAGTAGCCAATATTTACTAAGCTCTCACTTGTTAAGGCTGTCTTCTAAGCGCTGTGCACATATTATTTCCTTGAATTTCTGCAACAGCCCAGGGCCCTAAGCACAGGGTTGTTGCGTGGTACCCAGTAAGCGCTCATTAAAGAATTAGCTTTTATTGTCATCAAATGAAGATAGGGAAAAATAAAGACCACTGATTAAATATTAAGGGCCCCATTTTCAGCCCTGGCCGTCTCTGTCATTGTACGGTCGTGCTGCCGGTTGGCGTGACCTCGCTGGAAGCTGGGCTTGGTCCCAAAGGGATCGCCAGCCTCGGAAACACCGGTAGTGCTGACGCGGAATTAGGAGACGGTCCCTAGCACCACGTGAGCGTCGCTCGTCCGCTTCCCTCCCACTCTGGGCCCACCGCAGGCACTGCACGTACTCCCCAGACCCGCGCGCTAGAACCGCCGGCGCGTAACGGGTCATTGAGCGGGCGGGGCCTCCACCCTGACCCTGAAGGCGTCCAGGAGCACGCCCTGGTGCCCTTAACAAAGATGGCGGAAGACAGCAACGGGCTGGGCCAACCGGGAGGCAAGCTGGCTGAGCCCCAATGGAAAGCGTGCGCCAGAGGCTAGTAGCGCGTGGCTTCTGCGCATGCGCCCCTCCTATTGACGGCTAGGCGCTGCTGAGGCATAAATTTGCCGTTCTGAGTGAAGGGCAGAGAGGAGCGAGGGGGTGGGCATTGATTTCCACTTCCTGTGCACTGAATGTTGCTTTATTCATTGGTTACTTTTCCTAACAGAGCGTTGTAAACCAAGATCGGAATAACCCCTCCTAAGTGGTCTGGTTGGTGCCCAAGCAGCCTCAGGCTGCTCAGGTCAACATCAGTCCAGCCCCTACTCAGTTTTCACCTCCCCACGCTGGGCCAGGGCCTAGGTCCCGGAGGGAAAGGAGTTCCTGCGAGGGCCCAGGAGGGGCCGTTTTCCAGTGTTCATTTGCAGGGCTTGGTGTTAAGTGCTGTGGTTGCCCCCAGGGTCCGTGCCCTCCAGTCCCTGGTCACCCCTTGGCGCCATCCCTGTTTGTCACTGTGGATGGAGGGTCTGGGGACCTGTGAGGCTATTTGTGGCTGCCCCCAGATGCTGGCCGGGGCTTTGGCCCCTTGCCGGGGCAGCTTCCCCGCCAGACACCAGGAACCCAATGGGCTGGTCAAACATCTCCCACAGAGATGGGACAGCCAAAGCACTGCTGAGGTCAGTCAGGAAGCGGCCTGGCCTCCTGGCCTGCACCGTGGGAGACTCAGACAGGGAAATGCACTCACTGAGATCTACTGTTTCCATCCCACTTGTCATTTTTGTGTGGGGTGCTCATGTGGAGAGTTACTTGATGAGGCTGGCAGCACTGAAGAGGGGGGTGGAAGCCTCAGGACTCACCCCCACCCCTAGCCTCCCTGGCCCATCATGGAGCTGGGATCCTGGAGGTAACTTCCCTGTGCTTTGTTTGCATTGGAGGACAGTGGCTGACTACTAAATCTCACTGTCCAGAGAAGCTGAGTCACTGACAATCAGCAATTAAAGAGACAGCCAGTGGGTCCCAAGAGTTGCAGAAATCTCAAGGTGGTCTCCCTGTCTACCCTTGAGTGGGAAGATCTATACTGACTCAGGCCATCTTCTAAGACGCAGTAGGCAAAGCCAAAAGATCCCAGCCTTGGTAATAGAAAGTTTAGAAGAGCTTGTGACCCCCACCATAACTCTAGCAACCTGCTACCTTGCCACACTCCTCATTGTGATCTAGACTTAACATTTTCATTTGGGAACAAGTTCCTCCCCTACAGCTGGCTTCTCTGAAGTGTTAGGTCTCAATCTCTCCCCCTTTTTCTAATTTCTTCCCTACTGCCGCCCCCATCTCCCTCCCCCCTCCCCCTTCCTGTCTCAGCTGTCACTGGACAAGTGAAGTTGGCACAGCTTATAGGATGGTAGATCCTATCATGGTGCCCAGCCCCTGGAGACTCCTTAGCAATTTGAGAGGCAAGGGGACTCTCTCCTGCTACTCTCCCTCTTCCTAATTCTGAAATGAAGGTTTCCCAAATCCAGCCCAAGGTCTTCTTGTAGCCCACTTTTTTGGGGCATCTGGGTACTGGGCAAATGACTGCTGCAAGGGACAAAAACCGAAAGGGAGACACTGAGGGAGCCAGGCCTTCTGTGGGAGGAGGCATTACTTTGGGGTGACTGCCCCCAGCTGTTTCATCTTCTCTTCTGAGGCTTTGTCTGGAAGCAGGACCTCCACAGTGAAACTGACCTTCTTGGCATGAATGAAGCTGTAGGTGTTGTCAAAACGCAGGACATCTGAGGGGAGGCAGAAAACCAGACATTCAGGCAATTCTAACAAAGGGCAGTGAGTTTTGTTGACTGAACAAAGGTGGCATAAGGATGAAGGTGGCACAAGCAATGGTCCTTCACCTTCTGAAACTTAAGTCAAGCTAGGTTGACAAGTTATTCACAGAGAGAAAAAATATATCAGACAGAACACGGCGAGTGCCAGATGAATGAGAGACGACCATATCTGTTAACAGCTTGGAAGGAGAGGACCTTATGGACTGAAATAATGTAAAAAGGCTTTTCAGAGGAGTTAGAACTTGAACTGGGCCTTGAAATGGCACAGCAAAATTAGTACCAGCAGTAGCTGTCATAATAATAGTAATGGTAACAATGGCTACTTATGTGTGTCAGCCCAGGGTTGGTAATCTATGTATACTACTGTACTATTGCTCCAAATAACTATGAATTCAGCATTAATCTTGCTTTATAGCATATAAAAAGGAGGTCGCTGTGTCACATGGTGAAGTGACAGCTGCGATTTCCCTCTGGTCTGCATTGTTGCCTGCCTTGGGCCCTGGAAAAAGATGAGCCCTGTTCAGCTTCTGGCCAAGGTAAAAAATATACAGAGTTTCTGAACCAGGAATTCATCCCACAGAAAGATAAATGAACAAAGATGATCATTTTGCCCCTGTTCGTAATAATAAATGATTAGGAAAACTCAAAGTGGGCATGCAGTTGGCAGAGAAGGCTTTGAAACCTTGGCTGAGGAACAGACTGCTTTTAATCTAACCCTTTTCTTTTTGAGAAGTTGTTCCATTTCAGTCAAATACCCCTTCAAGAGAACAGAGTGTGAGAACAAATACACTCGCTCTGCCTTTTCCCTATCCTGGACTTCTCTTGCTTTTCCCGGCAAAAATTAAAACTTAAAACAAGCCCCCCCCACCCCCAAGTATATTTAATCCTGAAACTTAACCTCTCCCCTTTCCTGCCCCTAAATCAAACGCATAGTTTAAACCTTGGGTAGACATACCACCCTCTCTTTTTTCATGGTGTGAAGGAAGTGTTACTCATTGATTTTCTCTCTGCACCAGAGGTATTTCAGAACCAGCAGTCCCTCTGGAAAGAGACACTTCCTCACTGTCCTGGATGACAGAGCCCTAGCAACTAGAATCAGTCACGCTAGAGCAAGGGTCTGAGCTCCTTGGACTTAGCGCGAGCATCAAGATGGCTCTGCCTCGTATGATATTTTGCTCTCAGAAACAAGGAAGGGGCTGTTCTAAGGCCCAGGCCGAAGGGAAATGGAGTTCATGAACTGCATGGTTCATTTTGGCATTAATCATGTACTCACAGACCTATAGGGCCCTCAGAGATCCTCCAGGCTAGGGCTCCTCAACCTTTGTTGGGGAACTGGCCCCTTGAGAATCTGATGAAATCATACAACTTCAGATCCCCTGGGGCCCATCATGGACCCTTGGGTCAGGGGGTCCCAATGGGAAAGGCACCATTCTGAAGAGTGTTGGCACATGGGTGTAATCATGCCCTCTTGTTTATGTATGGAAACAAATATATATCCTAAATTAGCTTCCTTTTATTTTTCCCAGTGGGAGATTATATTGTTTTTAAAATTATATATTTAGATGGGTTATATTATCCATGAATTTCATTTCAGAATAGTAAAGGGGATATTAGACATTCCATGTTATAAAAGGGAGGTGTTTGGTCTTTGAAGATTCACGGTCACATCTATGGGGAGTCCACAAACCCCAGATTAAGACCTCCTGCTCTAGGGGTGCCTGACTGGCTCAATTGGTTGAGCATGTGACTCTTATTCTCAGGGTTGTGAGTTCAAGTCCCACATTGGGCATGGAACCTACATAAAAAATTTAATTAAAAAAAAAGACCTCCTGCTCTAGCCCACTCCCTTCATTTTAAGAAGGAAAGCAAAATCTGGGGTGCCTGGGCACTCAGTCAGTTAAGCGGCCAACTCTTGACTTTGACTCAGGTCATGATCTCATAGTTTGTGGGATTGAGCCCCCCCACACTGGGCTCTGTGCCTACAGAGCTTGCTTGGGATTCTCTCTCTCCCTCTCTCTCTGCCTCACCCCCTGCTTATGCTCTTAAAATAAACAAATAAACTTAAAAAGAAAAAAAGGAAGGAAAGCAAAAACTACTTAGAGACACCTGCTCAATACACTTGGAGTGTTGGTGGCACAGGAGGACTCAGAAACCAGGCCTCCTGGAGCCTGGCTGGACTGTTTTCTCCCCAGCACGGCCTGGCAGTACTGCTGAAACTTCATCTAGTCTTCTGGTCTTCTAGACCATGCTAAGGACTGGCAGACAAAGTCCAGATCTTTTCTTCTGAATCTTCTTTCCAAGTATTCTACACACAGGCCCTCAGGAAATATTAGTTGAGGGAAAAAAAATCATAAGTGAAATCAATCCAGGCTTTGTTTCTCCTTCTCAGTCATTAAGTACACCTGGGCAAGGACCCGTGTGGCCTGGGGAGGATTAATGTGCTCTTACCACTGGAGGATGGCACAGAGTTTTAATTTCTCCACCGGGCGATCATGTTCCACTTTGCAGGGAGTCACCTGGTTCTCCAAGGGCACTGCCCTCCCACAGGTAAGTTTGTAACCTAACACTGTGTTCTCTCTGGGCTCAGGTCTAACTTGAGCCATGGCTCCAGACAACAGCTGATCCCACCTCATTGTGTTTACACCTGGGAAGGGGACGTGGATACTGTGACCTGCCTCTAATCTTCCATGGAATGGACAAGAAGCAGCTGTCAAGGCCCCCCAGGCAGATAAACTTTCCATCTGGGAATGTATCCAAGAAGAGCTAAAATATATTTGGGATTTGCAAACCTGAGCCTCATTATGTTATAAGGTTCCTGATCCTCTCTCAGGCTGTGTCAGTAATGGACACTGGTGGAAAACGGGTGGGGCACTGCTGTTAGCTGCATGGATTTGAGTAAATTACTTCCCTGGTCTGGGACTCCATTCCCTCTTCTGTCGCTTCAGGACAGACCTGATCATCTCTAGGATAGGCTATGGCCTAGAGATCTGGACCAGGACTCTAGGATCGCCTCACGTCCTCTGTTTTTTGGTGTTTACACAAGCTACTTTGTCTCTTGTCTATATCTCAGCTTCTCTGTCCATTAAAAAAAGAAAGCAACTCAAGCTTGGGATGCTAGGGTGGCTCAATTGGTTAAGTGGCTGACTTTTAGTTTTGCCTCAGGGCATGATCTCATGGTTTGTAAGATCGAGCTCCATGTCAGGCTCTGCACTGACAGCATGGAGTCTACTTAGGATTCTCTTTCTGCCCCTCCCTGGCTTGCTTGCTCTTTCTTTCTTTCTCTCTCTCTCACAAAATAAATAAATAAAGTTAAAAACAAATATTTTTAAAAATTCAAGCTTGGGGTGCCAGAGTGGCTCAGTCAGCTAAGCATCTGACTTCAGTTCAGGTCATGATCTCACAGTTCGTGAGTGTGAGCCCCTTGTCAGGCTCTGTGCTGACAGCTCAGAGCCTGGAGCCTGCTTTGGATTCTGTGTCTACCCTCTCTCTCTGCCCCTCCCCCACTCATACTCTGTCTCTCTCTTTCTCAAAAATAAATAAAACATTAAAAAAACTTTTTAAAAAAATTCAAGCTTATATACAAAATACTTTATGTTCTATGGATAATAGTATCTGGGCTATTATGGATAATAGTATCTGGTGTGCTAGGACTTGTTCTTCCTGAAGCATACAGTAATATGCCTTCTCCTCCAAAGACCTGGCTGCTCACTCACTAACAAGAATACTCCTCCCCAGGGAGCCATACCACAGAGCATCTGTGAGGAAGGGGCAGTAGAGACTGAAGGTTGCCTGGCATGTGGGGAAGTACACGGCATCTGAGATTGGGGTGATGGTGTGAGGCATCTGGGGGCTAGCTCAGATCTCCTGGTGATGCCACCCTAGAAATGGGGTACAGGGCTTCTCCCATCTCCAACACCATTTCTAGGATGGCCCTTCTCCCTGCCAGGTCTTGCCCTCATACTAATAATGGTGATTACAGTGTGTTGAGTGCTTGCTGTATGCTAAGTGCTGCATAGACTTATCCCCAGGAGGTAGAGAATTTGATCCCACTGTAGCAATTAGGAAACTGAAGCCAGGGGGTGGGGTGCAAAGTCACTTGGCTAAGGACTAGTTTTATAGTCAAATCCAAGTCAGCCCAATGATAAAGCCTTTGCTCTCATTGATTTTCCATGCCTGGCCCATTGGCTCTGATAGAAAGAAAACTGGAGATTGGAAAGGAATTGTGTGTGTGTATGTAGCTTTTCTGCTTATAACTGTTGTATATGGTCATTGTTAAATAACTATTCGCAGAACTCATGTAAGAAATTAAAGCTCTCGGGGCGCCTGGGTGGCTTGGTCGGTTAAGCGTCCGACTTTCGCTTAGGTCATGATCTCGCGGTTCGTGGGTTCGAGCCCCGCGTCGGGCTGTGTGCTGACTGCCAGCTCAGAGCCTGGAGCCTGTTTCAGTCTGTGACTCCCTCTCTCTCTGACCCTCCCCTGCTCACGCTGTCTCTCTCTCTCTCTCTCTGTCTCCTAGAAGTAAATAAAATATTAAAAAAAAAAAAACAAAGAAATTAAAGCTCTCTATAAGCTTACTACCATCTCAGAGATAACCACTATTCTCCAGAATTATTTTCAATATACACCTTAAAAAAGAAAAACAGAGTGCATACCATATGCTATGTTTCACTCTTCGTTTTTTTAAAAACATGTACCAGACATCTTATGTGTCCATTTATTCTCTCTAATGGGTATATTGTATTCCATGTACGTGTATGCACGGACCATAATTCATTTAACAAGATCTTATTAAGGCCATTTAGTTTACTGCCACTTTCCCAGACTGCTAGGAACACCCCTGTACCTATATCCTTTTGTCTTTGTATTTAAAATTTTTTTTAATGTTTTATTTATTTCTGAGAGAGAGACACACACACACAGCATGAGCAGAGGAGGGTCAGAGAGAGAGGGAGACACGGAATCTGAAGCAGTCTCCAGGCTCTGAGCTAGCTGTCAGCACCAAGCTCGACGTGGGGCTTGAACCCATGAACCGTGAGATCATGATCTGAGCAGAAGTTGGAGGCTTAACCGACTGAGCCACCCAGGTGCCCCTCTTTGTGTCTTAGTATAAACATTTCTGTAGAATACATTTCTGGAGGTAGAATTGCTAAAAGAGAATTTTAATCGATACTACAAAGTTGAGTGAGGTTAAACACTTTTTCAAATGTCTGTTTGCCATTCTTATTCCTCTTGACTAACCTTCCTGTTCATGGTCTGTGCCCATTTTTTTTTTTAAATCAAGGTGGAGATGAATGAAGCTCAGAGGGGTCAAGACTGGGCTTTTTAGCATTGCTCACCCTGGGATCCCTGCACCTACCCAGATAAATTCTGCCTCTCTGATGTCTGAGGAGAGGAGCGTCCCCAAGAACTGTCTGATGACAATCACAGATCCAGTTGGTCTTGGACCAGAGAGCAGGTATTCTGAACCCTGGTGATCACCTAGCACCATGACTCACCCTCTACCTGGGAGTGTTTGATCTGAGTCCCAGTCTGCTGCTAACCAGCAGGGTCACCTGGTCATTGTACTTGTCCAAGCCTAGGTTTCCTCATCTATGTAAGGAGAGGGTTGAACTGATGGCTCCCTATGTCTAGTTCTAACAGTCTGAGAGCACAAATCCATGGAGAAAGAGGGACCTCACAGGCAGACAGCCAAGGCAGGGGCTCTAGGCCAAGTCGGAGATACTTACAGATGCCAGGATCACTGCAGGTGAGGGTCCCATCCTCAGGGACCAGGTGGGCATTGTATCTCTGGTTGGAAAGCACCTCCGTCATCTCCCCTGCCCGCTGCCTCTCCCCCATCTTGGTCTTCAGGAAAATCCCAAAACCAATGTCTGAACCATCCGACATGAACTGCCACCTGCAGGAGATATCCACCCAATGAGACATGATTCCATTTGTGTGTGCACTCTCTCAGGTCCTGCCCCCAGGGCTTCTCCCAGCCAGCCCCCCCACTGGCGTCGATGGCTGAAAGGCACAGGCCACCTACACAGGTCCAGAGCACTACCTGAGGACACAGCCGGGGAAGAGGATCTCATACTCCACTTGGTGGGAGGAGCCACGAGAAATCTGCACACTGTGCTCATACTGCTGTTTCACCTGATCTCGCACATAATACTTCTTGGGAATGTCACCCCCGTAGTTGATCTAGAAGCAGAGCACAGAATGAACTGGAATGTGCATTTGAGCCAGGCTTCCCGAGTGATCCCCTAGCCCATATGGGCATTGCGGGAGGGGGCATGCAGTCCCATACCTTGGATTTGCACTTGGGGTCTCCATCAGGATCAGTCATGGTACCTCCATACTCCATAGGCAGCTGGTCAGGGCTGATATGTTTCAATAAAACCTCCTTCCAGTTTGCTGGGCAGCAGAGGGAAGGAAGGCGAAAAAAAGGGTCACCACTAGGCAAGATTTCCTCACAGCCCCGGTGGTCAACACAAAAGAATCAGAAAAACCCTGTCTGTCTCAGGAAGCAAAACACAGGCATTAGGAGTACATGGTGTGTACACAGGTCTGCAGGGGGTTCAGGAGGAACCATCACCCAGAGGTGAGGCCCTGTCCTGAACTAAGAATCAGAACACCCAGAGTACTGTCTCCCCTGCCTCTGCCCAGTTTAGCAACCTTGGCCAAATCACTTCATTCTGAGCCTGGTTCTTCCCACCCTGCAAGATGTCAGTGGGGGTGAAGTGAACTAAGTACTTGAGAAGATGCCATAAACTGTTAGGTGCCCTACACTCATGAGAATATATTATCACTCCTAGAAAGGGGATACAAATATCTGCAGTGCAAGGAGAGGGAACAAAGAAAGGAACATCCCACACAAGGGGACAGCATATGCATGAGGGTCTGAATCAACATGATTTGAATTTCAGGTAGACTGAATTTCAGGAGGGCACAACCCTGTGTCTCATCTCCTACTTTCATCTACACGAAACATGCTCAGTCATGAGTTACTGAATGCACCACTCTACAGTGGACCCTGAAATGGGTTCCCTTGGCTTTATCCCAGCCACAATTTACTTCTGCTCTGTTTTTCAGGCTGTCTAAGCTGCCAGTGACTTGCAGTTATTTTTTTAAATAACCAAGCCTTTTCCTGACTAGGAGAGTTTGACTCTAGTGCAACCAATGCTGAAAACCAGTTTGCCACTCCAAATTCCTAAACTAGTATCAGCCAAGTACAGTATTTTGATGCTGGAAACCTTTCCATGCCGACTATATAGACCATAAATAGGCAGCAGCTCCAAGTCATGAGGTACAACCCAGTGTCCTCTGTTGCTGGTGCTGGCTGGAAGCCCACAGAGACTGTCCATGGTCTCCCAGCCCTCTGGTTTCTAGGGTCCTGGGACCATGCAACTCCTGGGACACAGCATCTGTGGTTTAATCTGTGCTCCTAAGCTCCACTGACTAGCCTGAAGTGAATGTCTTCCCTCCTCTGCTGAAGATCCTGTATCTCCTGAGCCTGAGATGGATTTGGTTGAAGGGTTTCAGCTGTGGGTGGGAGAACAGACGGCACCTTCTCTACAGCTCCACTGCCAGGAAATCCAACCACCTCATGCTCATGGTGGGTGGTAGCAGCAGAATCATCAAGAATCATCAGAGCCTTTTGCTCAGATTTTGTATGTCTTCCCCCAGCTCAGCTGGAGAGTTGGAATAAGGCCAGAAGGACCTTCCCATCTTACAGAGAGAGTAACTGAGGCAACAAGAAGCAGATCTTGTTGCTGCCAGAGTCAGGACCAGATTCCAGATCCTTTTCTAGAATGCTTTCTAGAATGCTCCACGCTGCTCCCAGGGCTCACTAATACACATTGGGAAGATTTCCACTTTCAATGTGGTGAACACTCAGAAACCTTCAGAATCCATATTACCTACCCCTAAATTCAATTTCACAGGTGGCATCAAGCCTGCCAGGAGCCCGTGTCAATCTACATTTGTAGTCTTTTCTTCCCACCAACTCCACTTAATGCTCTGGTAAAACTCAGCTCCTCTCTATCCCTGGCTGGCTTGGTTCCTGTGCATCTCTTGCGCCGGCTTCTCCCTTGTGCCCTGATATTCTCCCAGCTCCCTGGCACGTCCAATCCCTGCCGGCTGTGGTCCTGCCAGCTTCATTGATCACTCTTCACTCTCCCCGGTGGGCTCCTCTTGCTCTGCCTGCCCTTGGACTTGGATAGTCCCCACAGTTTAGCCTCTGCTCTTCTGTGGGCAGACTTTATCTACTCGCAAGGTTTTAGCTGCTGCCTATGTTTGATAACTCCCAAACTTCCAAACTGGAGTTCTGTCTTCAGCTTCAGGCTCAAATACCCCCAACATCTAAATATCTCAGAGACCCCCCCAAACTCTACATCAAGGTTATTCTTCCAGTTCTGTTCTGAACTGAATTGCACCAGAGTGATTGCAATACTCAGTCGCTCATGCCAGACACCAGAAAGTCATTCTAGATTTCTCTTCCTTCCTTCCTACATCCAGTCAACTGAGTTTTGCTGTTTCACTTCCTAAGTCTCCAGCCCATCCTCTCCTCTCCATGCCTACTGCCACTGCCCCAGCTCAGGCTTGCAACACCTCTTGCATGGACTGTGGCCACAGTGTGCAAACTAGTACCTCTCCTTCGCAAGCTTGCCAGTAAAATGTGTCTCCATTTAAAATCTGATCCTGGTTGGGGTGCCTGGGTGGCGCAGTCTGACTCTTGATCTCAGCTCAGGTCATGATCTCACAGTATATGAGTTTGAGCCCTACATCGGGCTCTGTGCTGATAGCACAGAGCCTGCTTGGGATTCTGTATCTCCTTCTCTCTGCCCCTCCCCAACTTGTGCTCTCTCTTTCTCTCAAAATAAATAAACTTAAAAACTTAAAAAATTGGGGTGCCTGGGTGGCTTAGTCGGTTGAGCGTCCGACTTTCGCTTAGGTTATGATCTCGCGGTTCGTGGGTTCGAGCCCCGCGTCGGGCTCTGTGCTGACTGCCAGCTCAGAGCCTGGAGCCTATTTCAGAGTCTGTGTCTCCCTCTCTCTCTCACCCTCCCCTGCTCACGCTGTCTCTCTCTCTCCTAGAAATAAATAAATAAAAATATAAAAAAAAATAAATATGATCCTGGTTGGGGTGCCTAGGTGGTGCAGTCAGTCAAGCATCTGACTCTTAATCTCAACTCAGGTCATGATCTCCGTTATGTGAGTTTCAGCCCTACTTCGGACTCTGTGCTGATAGCACAGAGCCTGCTTGGGATTCTGTCTTTCCTTCTCTCTGTCCCTCCCTGGCTTGTGCATGCGTGCACACTCTCTCTAAATAAATAAATAAACTTAAAAAAAAGAAAGAATAAAAATCTGATTCTAGTTAAGATGGGGTACACATACACAATGGAATACTACTCAGTAATGAAAAAGAATGAAATCTTGCCATTTGCAATAATGTGGATGGAACTGGAGGGTATTATGCTAAGCAAAATAAGTCAGAGAAAGACAGATATATGATTTCACTCATATGTGGAATTTGAGAAACTTAACGGATGATCATGGGGAAGGGTAGGAAAAATAAGATAAAAACAGAGAGAGAGGCAAACCATAAGAGACTCTTAAATACAAAGAACAAACTAAGGGTTGATGGGGGTGGAGGGGTGGGGAAAATGAGTGAGGAGCATTAAGGAGGGCTCTTGTTGGGATGAGCACTGGGTGTTGTATGTAAGTGATGAATCACTGGAATCTACTTCTAAAGCCAAGATCACACTGTATATTAGCTAACTTGAGAACACATTTAAAAAAATAATAAAATAGGGGTACCTGGGTGGCTCAGTCAGTTAAGCCTCCAATTGAGGTTCGGGTCATGATCTCACGGTTCGTGGGTTTCAGCCCTGGGTCGGGCTCGGTGCTGACAGCTCAGAGCCTGGAGTCCACTTCAGATTCTATGTCTCCCTCTCTCTCTGCCCCTCCCCTGCTTGCACTCTGTCTCTGTGTGTGTCTCTCTCTGTCTCTCTCTCTCAAAAATAAATAAACATTAAAAAAATAGTAAAATGGCTAGAAAGTTAAATAGTGAATAAATAAATAAATATCCAATCCTGGTACTCTCCCTGCTCAGAATTCTTCCGTGGTTCCCAGTGGCCTGTAGTCATGCCCAGGCTTCTCAGCATGGTGCCCTGGGTTCTCTGTGCCCTGACTCCTGGCCCCCTGTACAGCAGGACCTCTTGCCATGCCCTGTTGTGCTCTCTACAACTCCCTAAGCCACGGTGTGTCGGGTCTTTCCTCAGTGCTGTTCTTTCTGCCCAACAGCTTCCTGCCTGGCTTCACCTGGCTGCCTCTTACTCATTCCATAGCACTCAGCTGAGATAGGCATCCGCTCTCTCCTGGGTCAGGAAGGGGTGAGTGTTCCTGCCCAGTGTCTCCACCCACATTTTGATTCCTCCCTTTTACATGTAACATATTGTCTGCATCTCCCTTCCCCAAGAGGGCCGAGGGCTCTTCAAGGGACTCTATCTTATTTATCTTTGTCACCTAGTCCACAGGGCCTGGCACACAGTAGGTGCTCATGAAAGGAAGCCACTCCTAGTTGCCCCTACTTGAAAGCAACCTCTGCTCCTATGACCTCCGTGGCACCTTCTCTCTGCCGTTTCTAGTGCCTTTTCTAGCTTGTATCATCGCTTTCTCTCTAAAGGTCTGTCTCCTGTTACCCTGTAAGCTCCTTGAGAGCAAGACTGGCATTTTGTTCATCTTTGCATCTACAGTGCTGAGCTCAGTACTTTCTTCTAGAGTATCTGAGAGAAAGAGTTCTTATTAAAACAGAAAGGCAGACCCTAGCCCAGTGCCTTGCTTGCTCCTGGGTCCCACTGCTACCAAACCAGCAGAGGAAGCCTTCACCTTAGATACATCTAAAGCAGTCCCCAGTTTGGGCCACAGAGCATCCAGTGGCACTGAGAAGAGTCAGAGCTACTCACCCCCCAGGACCATGATCTTCTTGCGAGTGTCCTCACTCAGGAAGGGCTTGATGAGGTTATAGGCCACAGGAAACAGCTTGGGGGCTGGAACAGAGTCCAGGCAACATGAGACCAGGAGCAAGGCCCACTTTGTCCCTAACAGTGTCCTCCACAGCCTCTTGTGTCAGGCCACAGACTCCCTAGTGCTGCAGAACCCACACAGGCTGCCCAGGGTGTGAGGCTTGGCACAAGCGCTTCTTTGACATGCAGCTCCCTGTCTAGACAGGGGGTATTGCCTTCCTACCTCACCCGTCTGGCTGGCTCCAAGGAGGTAATAAATCCTAAAAGCTTTGTGAATTGTAACTCGGTCTGCATATGTCAGGGGTCTCCAGATCCCCTCCTCTGGCTCACCCCATTCTACTCTCCTGAACCTGCCCCAGTAACATTTTGGGCCCCTCTTTCCCATCTGACTTAATCACAGATAGTCCCCATCTTACCTTTAACAACAAAAAGACGCTTCAGTGTCTCAGGATAGTTTTCCTCAAACATGCAGAGAAACTGTGGAAACAAATCACAGAGTCCGGAGTGCCCAGACCTCTGTACCAGGGAGGCAGGCCCTGCCTCCTTCAGGCTAGACTCCGCCCCCATCACCTCACCCACCAGGCATCCTAGCAGAGAGGTTCACCCCTACTTTTTCTCCTCCTCACAGCCCCCTTCCAGCCCTGTCCCTCACCTCTCCATAGGCCTCCACTGCAGGCTTCCAGAGATGCTTGAGGCCAAGCCCCTCGCAGTCATAAATCAGAGTGATCGTCTCCACCTTCTTCCCCATCTGCAGGGTACAGACGAGCAGAGAGACATATCAGGCTTCTGCGATGCAGAAGCCCACCCCAGTTCAGGGCATTTGCTGATTTGGTCGTGGGCCCATATAGCAACCAGATCTGGGCAGGGCCATACCAAGGGTCTTCCAAATTGAAATAATCACCCCCATGCCAGAACTGTGGCCTAGGCTGGTCACTCTTTCTGCCTAGGTGTCCCTGTTCTCATCCAGTAAACAACTGGTTGGATCTAGATTAAATCTGAGGTCCCTTCTGTTCTGCAGTTTGAGCTGGTGGCCTCCTCCTTCCTCTGTGTGCAGCACCTGGTAGTGCTCTGTCTGTGGGGCCTCACTTGGCAACTTTTCTGGTGAGCAGGCACAGAGACTCTCCGTCTAACCAAAGCCCTGAAGGGTGCATCCCCACCTAATGCTTCTCTGTGTCCCCAGCCTGCAGGGTCTCTGCACACACTGAGCTCTCAGTGCATGTTTGTGAATGATGGGGTTGAAGTGTTCCCAAATTTATCACATCATTTCACCAGATCCTCACGACAGCTGAAGAGGAAGGCAGGAGAGAAGGTCAGGGTGGCTCTGGCTCTCCCTTCTCAGAGAGGGAATCACCTGTCCCTACCTTTTTGTTTTGAATACAGACTCTGAGCTCATCTTGCTAGTGGTACCCAAACACTTGTCCAAGGACAGGTTGGTCTGTGACAAAGATTTTACTGGTGCCCAGATGAATGAGAAAAACAATGATAATGTAGGAATTTATTTATGAAACTAAATTTCTTTGATTTAAAGGACTGTTCTTTATTCTGAGATTATGCCATTCCTATAGTTTTGGGGGCTGATTACGACAATAGTAGCCGGTAAATTTTCTTTTTAAGTCCTTGCTTGGAAAAATAAATATTTGGCAACATATGTCAGTCCCCAGAACTTTGACATTTCAAAGTTTGTCATCTGAAATCCAAACATATGGGCCTCAGCCCTGAAGCTATGCTTAAATCCCTGTGTGATGTGCCTGCTTCTGCTTGAACACCTCTACTGTGACAAACTCGCTTTCAACCATGCTAAACCCACTTGCCTTTTCTGTCTGGTGGACACACTCCTGAAGAAGCCGCTCGCAGTCCCGCATCTTGGTCTTGAGCAAGTCCTGTTTGCTGGCTGAGAGGAGCAGACCCTTGGCATCCAGAGGTCCAATGATATCATACCAGACAGGGCAGCCATCCAGGTCATAACCACACATGCCCCCTGACAGATACTGTTGGACCACCTGGGCAAAGACACAGAGGAGGCACCTGGTCAGCAGGCCCAGGGCAGTTGTGCCTTCCCTGTATCCCGAGGCCTTCCCATGGGTTCATCAAACTCTCCCTCTACAGCCTTCCCCTGGGTGCCAATGGATACCCACTCTGGGAACCACTGGGGCTCACTTGGAATTGTCAGACCTCTCCTCTGAAGGTCCCAGTCTGCCAGACTCAGGACACAGATTGTGGGTCCAACATAGGGATGGGGCAAGATCATTTGTCCTTACCTCTGGAGGCTGCCAGCTCATGATGTTGTCAATGTCCTTTTGCTTTCGGAACTCCACGTGCTGCAAACACACAGTCAGGGCTTTAAAAGAGCAGAAGTGGGGGGAACCCTTACGAGGCATTTAGCAATAGATGACAGTACGAAGAGGCCACCATCACATCTCAGGTATGTCATGAGAAGGCAACTGGCAGGAATGGAAAATAAGGCACTGCCTGTTTTAGAGGACTGGGCAGAAGGGATTATACTTCTTGGCTGGCCCAGACCTATAAAAGTTCTGTGTTTCCATGGAAGGGAATGCACTTTGTCACAGAGGTATAAGGCAACAGCGGTCAGCTAATTCTCAGATATGTCACACAAGTCAAAATCTGTGATTGGATGGGCAGAGTAGGCAAAGACAAACAGGCAAGCATCAGGATATGAAGCTAAATGGATCTCACCTTCCGGAGCATGGCCTCGGACTTCTGCAGGTCAAAGTTTCTAGCTGTAACAGGGAAACGTGGTCAGGGTTAGACCAGCAGACTATGCATCCAAGGACAGGGAGATTTCTTTATTCCCACGCGGGAGCTGACTCCTAGATCACCCCACAGGCAGAAGCTAATATGAAGACCTTCACTGGGGGCTTCTGGAACACCATAGCCCCTGAAGGTCAAGGATCAGGGCAGGTGGCTAGAGCCTTGCAACTTCAGGATTAAAAGAATTTTACCCTAGTAGATGCAATAGATGAAAGAGCTTATCTTCACTCATGGAAAGTAAACCCTGGACCTCTTTATCATTTTGCCTTTCCCCTTACACAAAGTTAATCTTCACAGTCTAACATCCAGTTCTGAGAACTTGACCCACAGTTCAAAGATGAGCACAGCTGCCCCACAATCTGGGGTGGATCTGGCAGAACATCCCAGTAGGATAGAGGAGTTGATGAGCCTCAAGTCCACCTTGCCCTATCTTCAAAGGACCCACGCATACCCTAGTGGGACACAGAGGGCCCTCTTCCCATGGTTCCTGGAAAACTTCAGAATTCAAGTTCAACTGGGCCAATGCTTCATTTTATGCTCTAACCCCAAGTCGTCCTGCTCAATCTTGAACACAAGGACCTCAATGCCTCCCCTCCCCAAGCCACCTGCTTCCAGGTAATCTGAGCTGCCATTTGCACCCAGTCCTCATTGTTACACTGAGTGGAGATCCACTGCCAGGACACTTGGAAAGTAGGGTTGCTTCCTCAGTCATATGACAACCTCTCCAGTACTAAACTCTGTGCTGCCACCTGAGTCCCCTGGGCTATCATGTTGCCCACCCATGGACTCTAACCATCCCTCATAGCCTCGTTTCAAGTCCATCCACACAACTTTCCTTTAGAAGTTTCCCAGTTTAGGGGCACCTGGGTGGCTCAGTCAGTTAAGTGTCTGACTTTGGTCAGGTCATAATCTCACAGTTCGTGAGTTCAAGCCCTGCGTCGGGCTCTGTGCTGACAGCTCAGAGCCTGGTGCCTGCTTCACATTCCATGTATCCCTCTCTCTCTCTGTCTCTTCTGCACTTGCTCTCTGTCTTTCAAAAAATGAATAAACATTAAAAAAAATTTTTTTAAACAAGTTTCCCAGTTTGCCACTGCTCTTCTTAAAGTGTGCTGTCCAGAACTGGGTGCAGCACCAGGAACACCTGGTCCAATAAAGCCTTCTCCAATAAAGCCTAAAAACTTTCTTGGCAGCAGTCACACCCTTAACTCAGATGGAGTTTACAGTCAATTGAAACCCCCAAATCCTTTTCAGCTGTGCTGCTGCGAAGCCTCCATCCCATATGTTGTGAGGTGGCTTTCTGGACCCATCCCTATCAGATTTCATCTTGTTACAGTCAGCTTCGTTTCATCCCCTAAAGAGTTTTTGAGATCCAGACTCTGACCAGTTTTGCCAACTGACCTATGAACTGTACCTCCCAGCTGTATGTCTCTGTGGAACTGATTGGTATCTAGATCTGCTGACAGCCCTGGAAGCTGGGCCAGACAGGCTGCCCTCTGGACTGTCACCTTAATCACTGATCTCTGGGAGTGGCCGAGCACATTCCCTGACTCTGCTATCATGAAATCCAGTCCACTCTCCTGCACCCAAAGGGTGAAATTTGACCAATGCCACCCCTGTCATTGGTGCTGGACACACATGTGTAGAACTAAATAGCTTTCACTCTCAGGAAGTTTCTTCTGATGGCTACCTTTCACGTGCCATCATGGAAGCAAGGGGCAGCTCTTAGAGGAATATAATCTGGGTTTGCATCTCAGGCCTTCCACTTTCTTGCAGTTTGACCTTGGACAAGATACCACATATCTCCGACTAAATCATCTATTGATCTTGAAACACATGAAAGATGCAAAGCAACATGCTACCATGATGGGGGAGCCCAGCTGGTCTGTGAAGGAGTGACAGTGAACTGTGAGCCCCCTTATCTCCAGGTGGCTCTCCAGTTAACCAGTATCTGCCGGCGTCCAACATCCAACGTCTTCTTCGAGGGCCCTCCCCAAGTTGCCACTTGGCCCTGACAGGACCCGGCCTGGTGCCTCCCCATGCATGCTGAGTCAGGCCTCTCCACGGCTCTTGCCGGCCTGGTCAGGGGCAGCTCAAAGTGTGGCTTAGGGCACTGCCAGAGAAACTGGCCCAGGAACAGCTATCCTGGGTTCTTATCTGATCACCTCCTAGTCCTAGTGAAGAAGACTGAGACCTCCTTTGCCCCCACCCCTCACTGACATGTGCGCGTGCACACGCGCGCAGACACACACACACACACACACACACACACACACACACACACACAGGGTGTTTCTACCACCTCCTTGTTTTCATCTGGCCATCTGACGCTCCTTGCTGGGGAGCCCAGAGCTCAGCCCCAGTCATGGTGAAGCAGTAGAGATCTGTGTGCCTGCTCGTAGGACCTAGGGGCCAGCAGAAAACTGAACTCACATAAGGGGAAGGGTCAAGAGTGGAAGCCTGAGCTCACACCTAGGTTAGAGGAAGACATTCTGTTGGCATGCGCCTTGAAAATGTTCCCTTTAGAATCAAAGGTAGAGAGAGAAAATGTTTCCTTAAAGAAAAAGGCAACAAAAACCGTAATTGAAATTCATAGCAAAGTCTGACCAGGACTGAGCTCCTGCCCAGGAAATGAGAGGCACAAAGTGCAGGGGAGATACTTCCTCTGTCTGTAGAGGCAGAGCTTGTCTTCAGACAGGAGCTGCAGCTTACTAGAGAGACTGGTGGCCTGGGAGTCTGGGGCCCTAGGTTTCTGCCCCCATTCTGCTTCTCATTAGCTGTGTGCCTTTAAATAAGTGCCTTCCCCTCTCTGAGCCTCAGTTGTCTCATCCAGCAAATGAGGATGACTATACTCTTCCATATGCCTGCAAAGAGAGGGGTTATCCCAGGACTGGGGAGTTGGGAATTCCTGGGGAACCAAGCGCCAGAAGCCCAGGTGGTCTTCTCTTAGATAAAAGAGCTGTGTTATTTTGTTCAGCTCTCTGAAACCACATGTCTCTACCTAACAGCAGCTCGGTGGGGTGTTTGATCATCTTGCAGCTGGCTCTTTAAGGCAGCACAGTCTTCCCACGCTGCCTAACCGCCCACTTCTAGCAAAGGCCCTTTGGCAAAACATCCTCCATCCCTGGACTGACGCCATTGCACCCCCGTGCTGCCCCTCCACCCAATGCGAGTGGGCTGAGGGTGGTGCTAGTGGGGCAGTCACAGGGGGAAAGGGCAAGTGGCACTTCCAGAGGCACACAGGGCCCCATGTCGCTTCCCTGGCTGCACCTGCCCTGGGGTGCCTACTAGCACCTTTTCTGGAGAGAAATGGAAAATACACCTCTTCACCTGTCCCGAGACCCCTAAGGTGTATATGTGTGTGTGTCCATTCTATAAATAAATAATCAGGCATGATTGGTACTTTAATATTTGGGGCTATGATTCTACATCACAACTGAATCTCTCCCAGTCTAACACAGTGGAATTTTCTCTATTATTTCAGTGTCTGGTAAGAAAGTTTCTATAAAGGAAAAAAATGTGTGTCACAGGATCTGGAGAAGGTAACACATGACTTGAGCCACAGGAGAGGAAAAGGGAAAAAAAAGGAGAGATTTCAAGAGTTGGGGCATGGAGCAGAGTTGGACTCTGATGCTAGTAGAAACGTGTACATATCATTACCACTCATAGAGTTCTGTCATGTTACATCCTGTAATAGGCAGGGTACCCTGTCTGGTCCTGTTCTAACAGGGAGGAGCCTAAAGCAGATGTGTGCCCCTGGCCAAGGTGCCATAGCCAGGCCAAGGCAGAGCCGTACTAGAACTGGAGGTTCTGGAGCCTGGTAGTGGCTTGAGGGCAGTCTTGTCAACCTTGGTTTGGCTGAGTGCTCCCCATGTTCCCTGTGCACTCTGCCCCTCCTTCAAGCTGCCTAAACTGCTGGCAGCAGATGGCCTGCCAGCCCAAAAAGCCGCAGAGGGGGCTAGACTCTCCCAGGGGCCTGCCCTCTGGTTGTACACTTGGCTCTGCCTCTGACTACCCACATGGCTGGGTCTTCCTAGACTTTTCCTCAATCCATTTCCCCAAGTCCATCAGGAGAGTGCATTTATCAAATGGATGGAAAGGGCACTGGGCTGGGAGTCAGCCCACCAGCTCTAGTCTTCTCTCTGCTTGTATCTCAAGCACTGTGTGACTTGGAGCAAGTTACTTCACCTCTCTGAGCCTCAGTGTTGTTTCTACCCAATAAGAGGGTCAAGGTTATGTAGTTGCCAAGAGTCCTTTGGATTCTAAAGGTTGACTTCTCCAGATTCTCAGATTGCCAGGGGCAGGGTTTCCAGAGTGTACCATTCTGTTACCCAGAACAAGGTTCTGCCCAGCCTCCCACAGCCCCAATTCCCTCACCTCGGAGCCAGCGCAGGAGAAAATAGTCATCTGGATTGGGCAGAGTAGGCAGCACATCCTGGACATTCTCCCGAAACTGTAGGGAGAAGCAGTAGGGTGAACGGCAGCTCCCACCCTGAACACCTTCTGCCCAGGACTCTCCACAGGGACTTTGCTAGACCCCTCTTCAACACGGGTCAACTCTGTAGACACTGGCTGAGCACATGGGCTGCACAGCACACTGTGTTGCCTCAGTGGATAGCAAAGAGGAGGCAGGAAGGGAGTAAGACACTACCTCTGCCTAGCTGTGTTCACTGCCACACTCCAGTGTACCAGGTGGGCATACATGTTTCCAGCTAACTGTGATAGTACACGCTCTGGCACCTGACACGTGCCACAGTAAAAGGTGTCAGCTTGCCAAGCATTCCCTGTGTGCCCCGCACTGAACTTGGCACTTATCTTATTCATGCCTCACTCAGAGTTCCTGGAGGTTTCACTGTCCTTATTTTACAGATCAGGAAATTAGAGCTCAGAGAGGCTAAGTAACATTCCCAAGGCTGAACAGCTAGTAATCAGCAGAGCTGGGATGCAAACCCAGGTCTGTCCGAGGCCAGAGAGAGCACTCTTTCCACTGTAGTCTTCTGCCCTTTAGTAATGGACTGGTGAGCAATATGCTGGGGGAGCAGAGGGAAGGAAAAGTTTGATTATGACTGGCCTAGGAAGACAGTGGTCTTATGACTTCAAAAAAAAATGGCATTTGCGTTGGGCTAGAAGGACTTCAAAGGCAGCAGGAGGAGGGAGGAAGGCAATCCAGGTGGAGGGAAAAGTTCCAACAGGAAGCCATGAAGGGGGAAAGTGCAGGGAGTGCCAAACAAGGGATGTGGACAGTGACCTCAAGGGACACCACATCCACCTCCACGTAGGTGAGCATACCCCCACATGCTCTCCCCATGCCTCCTGCTTCTAGCCACTCACCTTTCTCTACTCACTGACCTACAGGACAGCCACAGAGGGGACCAATGAGGACCTGCCACCTCTGCCCCTTGCCTAGATCAGCCAGGGACTCAGACCATCCCATCCCATCCCCAGGACTCCCAGGGAAAATGCTCATCCAGGGCCTAGGCATGAAGCCACCCCTCACCAAGGACCCTACCCAGCCCCTGGTTTCCAGCTTAATAACCACCTAATCCCTCCTCTGCGTGAATTCCCCTGCAGGTCAGCAGTAAAACCTGAAACCTCCCTATCCAGCCTTCCTGGGATAGGGGAGGCCCAGCCTGGGGCAGAACCTTCATGGGGTTGGTGCCTCAGCCCCACTGCCATAGCAGGAGACATCTGGTCCCCCACCCCCTGCCCAGCAATGGAAAACTGCTCAGCTGTGGAGCCTCCAAACCTTCAGACAGGACCCAATGAGTTCTGGCTGCAAGAACAGCCAGTCTCCCCTCTCCTCAGGGGCAACAAAAAGTAGATTCAGTTGGTGGAGAGGGGGCTTAGCTTTCAAACTGCTGCCCCCTTCTCTGCCCAGGTGCCAAAGCAAAGCCAGGCGTTCCTTCTAGCCTTCTGAAGAGCATCTGCCCCAGTCCCAGGGAGGGGCCTGGATTGCAGGACAAGGGAGGGCTGGTCTGAGCTCAAACTAACCTCAACCCAGTGAGTCGCTGATAGGATTCCAGGCTGCACATGAGGGTGCTCCCTTCAACAACATCGGGTCCAACCCCTCATTTCATTTATCAAGGAGCACACAGAGAAGGACGGATTTTGCCCAAGGTCGGCAGGGAGACTTGGTGCCCCAGAAGGGGTTCTCCAACTATCCTAAAGAGCTGTCAGGGCCCTGTTCAGGGCGCCGCCGCCCCCGTAAGAGGAAAACCTCCCGGAAATGGGAGGAAACCTGGGGCGCTGCCCCAGCCCCAGCCCCCAGGGCCCGGGTGCCAGTCTTGAGAATGAATATTGCCTTTGTGCCCTTAGCTACCTACGAGGGCTTCCAAGCAACCACTTCTTCCCAGGTGGCATCGCCAAGGTCTCGCTCGGGGCTGAGGCTGAGGTGGCCAAACTTCCCCGGGGCCTCCTCGGCGGGGGGAAGGAGGGAGGGGCAGGCCTCGGGGAGAGGGGCGCGAGGCGCCAGGTGCCGCCAGCCGCAGCTCCCCGAGCCGCCCGCCGTTCCCGCACCGTCGCTCGCCCCCCGCCCAGTTCCTTCCTGGCTCGCAGCCTTTGGAAGGTGAGGCCCCGGGCGGGGGGTGGGGGTCGGACCAGGGTGAGGACTCACCTTGGCCAGTGCCTCCTTCTGCTTGGGGCTCAGATCGCCGACTCTGCCGCTCATCGTGGCTCCGGCTCGGGCGCGGCGGTTGCGGCAGCTGATGGAGCACGGGCTCGTTCTCAGCCACCGGAGTAAAGTCCCAGCCTTTTGCCCGGGCCTCGGGGCTGGCCGCCAAGCCCCGCCTCTTAAAGGATCCCGAGGGGTGGAGTAGGGAGGGATGCGCTGGGCGCGGGAGCCTCTGGAGCGTCGCCTTCTGTCCTCCTGAAGTCGGAGACCTGGGCAGGAGGCTACGAGGAGTGCCCCACGCGGGCCGAGGCCAGTGGACATTAGAAGGTCAGGAAATCTGGGTTCTGGTCTCAAATTTATCCTTAGCTCGCCTTGTGACCTTGGAAGAGACACCTGACTCTCTGGGCCTCAGTTTCCCCATCTAGGTGCTATCTAATGACCTCTCCTGCAATCAGACCCCGTAGGGCAGAACCTCACTCCCCCAAATGGTAGGGAGCTTGACTCCTGCCACTGTGGGGAGGCCAAGTCCTGAAGCCTAGACACCATCCTGCGATGAACCATGGTACCGGTACTGGGGTACTGGCCGTTTCTCTCTGGAGCCCCTGCCCTCCTTCGCTTTGCCACCGGTTTTGGACATCTGCTGTCAACCCAGCTTGGGGCCTCTCAGTGTTGACAGACTTTCTCCTGCACCTGTGAGGCAGGCAGGCCTAGGGGACAGGGAACCACAGACCAGGTCTCCAACCCAGGGCCCTGACCTCTGCTTCTGACCTTCCCAGCTCTCCAAGAGCTGCTCCTTAGCAGGCAGAGAGTATTGTTTCCTCTCTGGGAATCAGAAGACCTGGGTTTGAGTCCTAAATCCTCCACCGCTCTCTGCAGACTTCAGCAAGCAGCTTCACCTCTGTGCACCCAAGCTTCTTCATTCACAACATGGAGGTGATGATCTGGATTTCAAGTCAGCTTGAGAGGATCAAGGGAGCTAACGTACACAAGTCACCCCGTGCCTTATGCACTTGTGCTTAACAGGGTTTGCCTCTGTGACCACTCCCAAGTCTGCCCTACACACCCTCCTTTTGCTGCCTGTCTGGCCAGGCTTTGGCCTCTGGGTGGGGATGTAGGGTGGACATGGAGGAAGCCACAGTAAAGCCATGGCTCAATGAAAGCAGGCTTCCTATCAGCTTATCTGCTTCCCCCACTTCTGCCTAGGGTTCAGAGCTCTGGGTTTCTATAATTGCAAGTCTGACTTTTGTGACAGATGCTTTAGGGCCAACTCTCTGTCCTGCCAAGTCTCACAGCCCCTTCCTCATACAATGAAGCCCTTTCCTCCTTTCTGTGTTCAACAGCCTCCTCCCTCTGTCTGCCCCACCCCTCAAAACACACACACACTTCATACTCTCTTCCTACCTCTGTGGTAGCAGCTGCTCACATACCCTGGACCATTTTTTGCTCCTGCTGTGTGCCAGGCCCTAGTCACTATTCTGGGAACCCTGAAATGAATCAGACACCATCTTGCCTCCCAAAGATAAGACACAGGCACCATCACCTAGAATATAAGAGCGAGATAAATGTTCCAAAGAGAGCAAGCTCCTGGGAGGTTAGGGCAGAGAATTTGTTTTGGGTTGTAAGAATCCTAGAAGGCTTTGTGGAAGGGGTGACATTGGAGCTGCATCCTAAAATATGGAGTAGGGAGGAAATGGAACAGAAATCCATTCATTCCCTTCTGGTACAATGGCATAAGCAAAGTTTGGGTGGTTGATGGGAAGCATGGCTACCTCCAGAGAGGAGGGGAGAGGAAGGATAGGCAGGGGGAACTGGCAGAACCACAGTGTGTCCCTGCTTAGTAGCATCAGCCCTGCTAGACCATGAGGTCCTTGGGAACATCACCCTGGGTTACTCATCTCTGAATCCCCACAAGCCCCCTACCCTCAACACAGCATCCTACACACAGGGGCTGTTCAATAAATGTATGCTGACTGAATGAATGTAAGAAATGCTCCAATAGGCACAGAGTCTGGTGCTGAGGGAGCCCTGGGAAGGAGACATAAGCACAGATCATTCAGGGATCAGGCAGCTCATCTCACTTGACAGCTGTGGAAACAGATGCCCAGAGAGAGCACGACCCAAAATCGTTAGTGGCGTGACAGATGTGGAGAACTTTGCCAGGTGCCTGGCACACGGAAAACTGCCACTTACTGCCTGGAATTCATACAGAGCTAGGCCCAGGAGCTTGTGGGTATCCTGCCTCTCAGAGCAGGGACCCCACCAGCTCTGCACTCAGCTCTCCAGGAGAATAGAAAGCAGGATAAGATGATCCCAGTTAGAAGGCAGAGGTCAGCTACAGCAGGCCTGTGAAGACACCTGGGAGGACTTCACTCTGCACCTGACATGGCCCCTACCATGAAGGTCTGCTACAGGGTGCAGAGTTGAGGGTCTTGGATTCAGCTCTGTGACTGAGAAATCCCCAACCCCCACCTCTGGGAGGAGTTTTTCAGTTGTCCCAGGAGTTCTGCCCTAGTTAAAGAAAGAATCATTGCCTTCTGGCTTAGGGCAGAAAAAGGCTGCCTTCCTTGTTGGACATGTGGCTGAGGTCCTTATATAAGACCCTTCCAGGGGCAAGATGTAGGGCCCATTCAAAGGAAAATAGTAGAATAGCCCCTTTACAGCACTTTACAGTTTACAAGGAGCTTACAAGGTACACGGGCTGGGGTGTGGACTAGCCTCGGAGTTACCTACACAGGCTACGTGGGGAAACACAAGGAAAACATTTATCCAGCAGGAAATTACCCTCAGCCCCAAACAAGCCCCCAGGAATCTGGAGTTACCCACAATAAAGGTCTAAGTGAAGTACCCTTCTTCCAGTCCGCCTTTTTCAGGTCCTGTGACTACCTCCTTCTCCTTCCTCCACTGAAACTTACCTGTCTCTGGCCTACTATGGAATAGCTAGTTAATCTGATAATATAAATCCTAGAATAATAATCTGGTAAATTCCTCTGAGCTGGTTACTAACAAAGAGCCCCTCCTCCACATCCTCACCTTTTCTCTAGCCCCCTACTCCTGTCCAGCAATTCTCTCTCCCTGCTAGGTATAGTGTTCCCCTGCTCAAGAATCTGCAGTGACTCCCTAGTTCCTTCAGGGATCAGCTCAGTCTCATTGACTTGCATTCAAGGCCAAGGCCTATCTTGTCCCAATGTCCTTTGTGGCCTTCACTCTCACTCCTCCCCTCCACACACTTAGTCAAAGAAGCTCTGTCCTGATCCTCAGACATATCTTGGCCCTCCTGCCTCTGTCAAAGTTGCTTCTCTCTCCTATTTCCTCCTGCCAGTCCTTCTTCCAGATCCTCCCAGGCCATCAAAACCCCAATCAAATGCTGTTTCCAGGAACCTCTCCCTGATATAGCCAATCTAATGTGAGCCCTGCCAAACAGTAGCCCCTCTCTCTTGAACTTGACACTGACTACTCTGTATTGCAGTGGTGACTATCAGGTAATGGCCTGACCCAATAGGAAGGGCCCAGCATCCTCAGTCAGGCGGCCTGAGGTGGGATCCAGGCCCCACTGCTTGCCAGGTCTGTTACCAGTGTGCTGTGCTGAGTATACCTTGCCAGGCAAGGTGATGTTAACAGCTGGAAGAAGGCTGCCAGGCCTAGGAGGTCTAGAAGGAACGTGGGGTCACTAATGGTTCTAGTCTTGGGAGTTAGTGCCCTGGGGCTGAGATTCCTCTACAATGTGGCTATTGGCATAGGCAGGAGCACCGTACTGGGAGTCCAGAGCCAGGGCTTTCTTTCCTTTTTTTTTTTTTTTTAAGCTTATTTATTTATTTATTTTTGAGAGAGAGAATGAGTGAAGGAGGGGCAGAGAGAGGAAGAGAGATAGAGATTCCCAAGCAGTCTCCATACTGTCAGTGCAGAGCCCTGCACAGGGCTTGATCACACAAACTGTGAGATCATGAACCTGAGCTGAAATCCAGAGTCGAAATCCAGAGCCACCGAGGCTCCCCAGAGCCAGGATTTTGACTGTGTTCTTGAGTAAATGTGCTACAGTGACTACTTAGCAATGAGCACTGGGGAGAGGGGGTATGCTCCTGGGGGCTATCTGCTTTGACCTCTGGGCCTTAGTTGACTCTTCTCTAAAACAAGGGCACTGACCTCCAGATCAGAGGCCCCTGAGTGCGTTGTCCTCTGATTCTCTGGTGTCAGCGGGAAAGGGGTGGTGCTGAGACTGGCACAGTGGTTTGAGAGTTAACAGTCTTTTAAACCCTTCAACAAATATTTGTGGAACACTCTACTTCCATGGGGCCAGACAGGAGAACTTTCCAGAAAGCCCTTGTGACCATGCAGAAGGGCCCTGACTCCAGCTTCCATGCCTCCTCTCCTTATCCCAAGCCTGCCATGCAGAGTTTCAGCTGACTTAAATTTTTTTCCAACAAAGTAGGGGAAGGAATGAAGAAATCTGCACTGCCTAGGATGACATGGCCCTGACAGTGGAGGTGACAGCAGCAGAATGAGGAAGCAACAGTGATAGACTGACTCCTGTACCTGCCTGCACTCTCCTCCAGGTGGTCCAGGCTTCAGCTCCTGACTGGAGCTGGAAGCCAGAGCACCTTTCATGTCTTGGCTCCATGAGTATTTAGGCATGAAACCTAAGGCATCAGGACACCTCAGAGAACAAGGCCAACCAGGCTCTGCCCTCAAGGAGTTCCTGGTCCATAGGGAGAATAGCTAAGGCAACAGGTCAGTCCAGTATAATGTGGCCAGCACCACCATATTGGTACAGTCAGGAAGCTCCACACCCGGTCAAGAGACCTGAAGACTGAGCATGAGTCCACTATTTTGGAGGAAGCAGGAGGCCTGGAAACCATTCACTCTCCCCTTTTCTTTCTTTCCTTCCTCCCACCCTCCTTCCTTCCTTCTTTCCTTTCTCCCTTCTTCCTTCCTTCCTTCCTTCCTTCCTTCCTTCCTTCCTTCCTTCCTTCCTTCCTTCCTTCCTTCCTTCCTTCCCATATTTAACTGAGCACTGTGGTAATCCTGGAGTAGGAAAGCTTGCCTCATGGACTTACAGTATTGGGGTTGGGGGGGCATGCCCAGGCTGAGCTAGGGCTGTGGAGAAGTGGAAAGGGCTAATAGGGGATCAGATAAAGAATCAGGGCTTGGGGTACATGCATGTAGGAGGGGCAGGTGTCAGGAAGGACCTTTGAGTGGTGCGGAAGGGCTATTCTAAGACCCTTGAGCTGGGGATGCTCTGTGTGGATGGCAGGGGTGGGGAGGTCTTTTTCCTTTTG